TAGGAGTAGAGCTGCACAATTCAGGATAAATTGAGAATCACAATTTCTGTTTGATTCAAATAGAGATTATGATTCTCCGATTCTGAACAGACAACTAAAGAAAATAGCATGTAATTTACTAGAGGTTCTGACAACATGTTAATTGCTGCAGTCTATTTATTTTTTAATTATTTATTGCAAACTCTGCACCTCTTCTATGGCTAATATAAATTTTTATAATGATCCTCACTCCATGAAGTCAAGCAGCAGAAGTTAAGTGACTGTGCAAACACTACTGCCCCATTTTGAGGTGAACTAAATATGCAAAACTAGTCTTACATGTCACTGTTTATAACACAGGGTGTTCATCCTTTGCTGGGCCGCTTAAAAAAATGGGGGCATAAATTAAGACCCACTTCTCAAGGCACCACTACTACACCACTGCTTATGTTCTGTCTTCTGAAGCAATGCAATGCATTTATGTGAGAAACAATCTAGTTTTCCGTGGCACCAGGGTTTCTGAGCGACGTAGTGATTCATGAATGAATCGTTCTTATGAGATGAATCAGTTCATCCAGTTTAACAAAACCAGTCTGATGAACCGAATTTGATTCTTGATTCAAATCACTAACTTAATGATCTAGATGCAGCAGTTGGCAGCTCACTGGAGAAGAAAATTATTAGAGAATAATGACTTAAATTTCTAAATGGTATGGTTTCAAAGACACTGCACAAAAGTTATATAGACAACTTTTTTGGTGTTTTGCATCCTTTTTAAAGCTTGAAAGCTCCAGCTTCATTGCAAATGCAATGAGTGACCAGTATTTCTCCGTTTGTGTTAATTTTAAAAAAAGTCACACGGGTTTGGAACAACATCAGGATGAGTAAATAATCACATAATTTTCATTTCAGGGTGAAATATTTCCTGTAAAGCTTCTGGCTCAAAAAGCAACATTCATTAATTGAGCTAAATAGGTCATTATTGCAATACACCCTTTGACAGATCAAAGCCAGTAGTTGAACTCTTCTGAATGAAACAGGATTATACACATCACAGCTGTTCCGGCACTGTCGTCACATTTTAGGAATGCTTAAAATTCCAAGATGAAATCCTTACTTCCGAAGGGGTTAGATGAAAGACACAGAAACCAACAAGGATTGTTTGGGCATGAAAAACAGTTGAATTTACCTGTTGATGAGCTGAAAACTAAGATTACTTAAGTCAAAAATAGCTCTTTGGCACTGATGATGTCATGCTTAAGACATTTGAAAATGTGTGTGTGTTTGTGTGTTGGGGGGGGGTCGTCACTCTTTAAGTTGATTCATTGGCTTTACTTATTTTATTGCATGCAACATCCTGTCTGATCATTTTGAGGCATGACATACTTATCACTACTAAGATATTAAAGATTAGGCTAGACATGCTTCATAATGTTTCCCCAAAATGACCCTCCTGCTCCTTATGAGTATTTTTCATATACAACATTTATTCTACTAATATATATATATATATATATATATATATGTATATATATGACAGTCATGTTAAACATCAAAAAACATGGAGATCATCTCTGACCGGGTCACTTCTAAACTCTGGACAATCAAATATCAATCTGAGGATAAATTTTACTCTATCATACAAAATATGATTTTTATATCATAAACTTTTTTTAAAAGTGGGGATGCTAACTCGGAGTAATTTTCTATTTAACCAAATCAATACTAAACAAAAGACATAATCTAAATCATCACTTACTTAAATATTGTTATTATTATTTGCTTATTTTTTATAATTAATGTGCTTTTAAATTCAAATTCACTTGGATTCAACCTCCAGTTTAAGACTCGTGTAACTGTTAAAGCTTTAATGAAACGTCCATGGCCATGTTTAAGTCTTACATAATAACACATAGGTAAAACAGTTAAAAAATAATTTAAGATAAATTTAAACTAAACCATATTAATACCAAACTAACGTATCATGCAGAATAAACTACTTTTTAAAAGTGCAGTAATATTCACAAGTATCTGTTCCTATCAAAACTGATATTCTAAACCATACATGCTTACAACGTACAACATACATATGTGAATGTTCAAAACAGAAATTACGAAATGTAGTTTACCTTGTTTTTAACCTCCGCAGATAATCCGTAGGCTGGTCCCTTGTTAAACTGGGTCATGATTCACGTTTTGAATTTTCTCTTAAATTCAATGAGCTGACCAACAGGGAATGAGTGAAGTAAAGTCCTACAGCTGCAGTAAAATCACAGTACAGATGAGTCGGAGCTCCGTGTGCATGAATAATCCGCGCGTAATGTGAGTTTACACAACAAAACTCTCGCGCAAAAACTTCTCGCTTCTATCGCGGATTTGGGGTGGAGCTAAATGACTGACGCGCCGCTAGAGCCAATCAGAACCCTCGCTTCTGCATATTAAACCGTCCATTGTTTCTCTGGCTCTACTGGGTGCCACTGGCAAAACTATTGACCGAGTTTCAGATTACTGGAAAACTGTAGTTTATCTCTACAACTGTATGGTGTAATAGTCCTTTCTTTGTCTTTTTCGATTCTTTGTTTGCTAGCAGCAATAACAGGATAAGCATTTCACTGTTAACTTTTTATTTTTACAAACATTATTAATCAACAGATCAAAATGAGGTATATTCAAATATTAATATATAAAAC